CACTAACAGAGCAGCATAATGAAAATGAGGCAATGTTGGTAATATAGGCAAGAATGACCAAGAAAGGTTAACTCTTGAGAATGCAGTATTTCAAACGGAAAAATTACATAATGTGTAATGATGAAGAGTAAAAACTGACAAGCTACTCAATTCAAAGAGCAGATGAACAGACAGAAAAGAAAGAACCTGGCACCTAACATTCTACTTTTTACACTTTCTTTATTGCTAGAGGCTTCAATGTTCAAAGTCAGAAAAGCAGACTTGGAAAAATGTTAGCAAAACCCAACAGGAAATTAGAAAACATTGACTATGTACCTTCTTCTAAAAGACCTCAGTGAAAATTTGTAAATGTTAATTTAAATTTCATTTGAGAGCAATTACAATTCTTTAGAATTTAACTCCCGTGGAAGTACATCACTACCAACAGCTTCTTTGAAAAACATCCAGGAAAAATGCAGATCTAATAAGTACTCAAGTGTGTGTGTGTGTGTGTATTTGTGCGTATAAAGATTTATGTTAGAAAGGCTCCACAGCTTTCTTGCATCTGTGTCCCACAATCATTACCTGGTTGCAGGAATTTCCTAGTACACAAAAAGGCCATGGCCATTGAATAAATTGTTTGCTACAGCTTTGTCAGCTTCTAACAAGAACTAGCATTCTACCAAACGCCATTATTTACTTTTAGTTTATATTTTTTCTTTGATACCTGTATTTGCAGCTGAGCCTTCTAACAGCTGGCAATATCTACAGGGAAGCAAACAATCAGCTAATTCTGACGGAAGCTGATAGTAATTTCAAAGTAAAGTTTCTTTAGGGCAAAATATACTTCTACAAAATGGATGTAATCAAATTAAATACTTGCTTGATTTCATTGTCTTTCCAGGCCAAATAGAAAAGATTATTTTAAAGAAATAGAAATTCTCTATGGTAATTCTTGTGTGCAAGGATGCAGAGATTTTTTTCTGGCTGCTCTAGCCAAAATATAAATCATTTTCTGCTGCGGTGTCAGGAAGAGTATTGCACCAAATTAATCATGAACTACTTTAAAAAAGAGACAAAAAAAATCAACTGCAAAATGAAACAAATCTCTCTGTGCCTGTTTTCCATTTGCGTTGTCATCACTTACCTTTAAAGGACAATGGAAGTGAGATGGGAGTGCTGCTGAAATGCATTCAACAGACCCTGTGTGTGTGTTAGCATCTCCAGAGGTCTCTGCTGTGCCCACAGCCATTGGAAACCATGAGCATTACGGTAACCTGCACACAGCATCATCCTCACTCTTTGCCAGGCCCCTCACACGGGGATACACTGCGGTAAACTACATGCAGAAGCACACAGACTGCAAACCAAGAAGTCGTGTGACTTTTTTTTACCATATCCCAGCACCTAGCCATAAACTACTGGGGTAGATAAAAGTCTTTCTGTCTCATTACAAAAGAAGAGGAACAGCGAATCATAAAGGAAATTGAGTCATTTTAAAAATCTTTTCCTAATAAGCCCAGTAGTTCAGCAGATGTGCACAAGTGGGGAGAGCTGGAAGCGCAGAGTTCAGGCAGATCCATCCACCACCATGCAACTATGACTCAGCTTGCTTTCATCTTTTATGTTAGGCAATCAAAAGAAAAGACAATTTTATTCCCTGAGTGAGGGGCAAATAAACTCATGCCAATTAAAGAACTGAAATGATGTCTCTGTGGTTTAGACTGGAAACTTTTTAAAGATAAAAAAAAAAATCTTAAATAATTCACTCAAACAAGGTTTCTAGATCATCTTCTTGTCTTTCTTTGCTCTCAAGGCAAGACAGGCAAAAACTGAACACTGTGTTAACTCCATCCTTTCAAATTCTCACACCCACAAACCACACCATCCAAGAGGCGACAGTAGTACTTATACGCCTGTTTTAATAAAGTCATTTTCAAAAAGCTTCTGGGAAGACATAGAGTTCTCTTAACCACAGGCAATAGCAATTAAAGTCAGCCAGAGCTTTACAGCTGACTTTGAAATTAGAAGGAGCTTCCACCAATGTTTTAGAGACTTTTGTTATTCCCGCTCTTTCCGCAGCCTCCAAAAGTACTTTTTCACGAAGCACTTGCAACCTGCCCGTCTTTCTCCTTTTTAACTGGTCTGGTCTTCATCGGCCCAGGATTGTGTTCTTCTGATTCCTGACTCAGAAAAGCTCTTCAAAATGCGCCTAACTCTAAGTCTGTATATTAATTCCTAGAGGAAACAGCTGAGAGCGTGCGCTCCAGCGCTACCAAAACTGGGCCAATTCCGTGCAGCTTTTCTCCTCACACAACAACTTTCTCACTCCTCGGCATGCCACACTTACCGATAAAACGTGGTATAGTCCACCGTCGAGTGACAGCTCTGAAACTCCCAGGCTTTGAGTTTCTGGCACTCTCGGTGGGCCCGGAGTTTCACCCTCACTGTCCCATGGCAGAGCTCGGGCACAGGTTTCCTCTGCGGGCGACTGCAGAACTCATTTGACTCCACGCGCCAGGACTCGGCAAAGTCGTCCACATCGAACTTAAAATTCCCATCCCCCCCAATCAGGTCATCTCGCTTGTGCCCGTTGTAATTGCCGCAGAGACCGCAGAGTTTGCCCTTCAGATGTGGTGCAGCCATGACTTCCACAAAACTGTCTCCATCCCATGAGATTTCCAAGCCTAATAAAGAAAGAGAGAGAGAAGATCAAAAAAAAAAAAAAAAAAA